GAATCGCGTCATGACAAATGTTATTGAATTTTAAAGTAACATCTTGTAAGCAACTTGAGCATCGGTCCACATCCCAATATCACTATCTTTCCACAGAAAAACGTTACCCTTTTATCAAAGTCAATAAAATATTTGCATTTATCATAATTTATTGTCATCTTTCTGTTACATTAACCGAATAATAGCAATATATTACACAACAGGTGTTGACATTCGATTTCGGAACTACAGTGGCAGAAAAGAGTTCAAATTTAACTGACAAAATGGATAAAATGTATAGGTTCCTCACGTAACATTGCTCTTCTTGCATTACATTTGAAAAAAAAAAACTATTATGTAAGCATTTAATGTCTTAAGTGATACAGGGGCGTTTTAGTAGACAAGTTTGACAGTTCTCATTATACGATATTTCAATCGGTAGTTTTAATAAAGATATTAACATTTGAACGAATGCATGATTTTAAAACCGGACATTATAAGTATATATCTTTTATTCATGAATTTCCATCACCACAATGACTATCATAATTGTCACTAGTTGGTTTATAATAATAAAAACTTTAATTTTTACTTATTTTCTTTAATATGCGCCCTCATAATCAATGCTGTTCACTGTACAAGAACTCCAAATTTAGAACATAAATTACGGTTTGGATAAGTTTTTACCTATTTTTATACACAATTTTTTTAATCTCTGTTCACATGTAGACAAGGTTTATGTTTTCAGGCTTTACTTAGCACTACTTTTTAAAAATGATTTTTACTGCAACCGAGATCTGCTTCCTCAGAAAGGCTTGGTTGAGTATTATGTTTCAAATGCTACACTGGGACACTTGTAAAACTGTAAAAAGATTTAGTTAAGTAATAGTTTTGTTCAGTTTGGTTTATTGTTTATGTTTTCAGGTCTTGCTGAGTAAAGTTTCTCATGCAAAAACGTTTTGTTTTTAGAATGGCTTCAAACTTAGACCTTTACTTGCCTCATTAAGTAATGGAGTAGTGAGGGTTCTCTATCGTGACACGGGACCTCAGGTTTTAAGGTCTCATCCGAAAGTCCCGTGAGTTTCACTTGTAGTGCCGGACACCTGGCGAAGGAGCAATTTCTACCTCATATTAAATTTTAGGTTTGACAAAGTGCTGGAAATGTGAATTGAACTTGATAACTCCCAATCACGAAGACCGCCAACAGCTGCGCCGATGCCGAAGGCAGAGGGTAACATAACACCCAGGGCTTTCCTGTCCACTCGAGGGCAAATATTCTGGTACGATGCCCTCGCCATATATGTATAATGTATTTTTTTTTAAATTATATAAACATGAACAATTTTTATTTCCCAGCACCCTTGAGAACACGTGGTTGCTTTTTTTTTGGATCTCGCGCGCACGCTTAATATAATGTAAAGCGCCCTGAAGCACAAATAAATCCAAGGTGAGAAGTCACGAACAAAATTTTCACATGCAAACATACCAATGACCTTTTGCTAAAATTTGATCGGAATTTGTAAGCATAATAATATTTGACACTTAACTGATTGTTAAATGGGTATGAATAATTAATATATATTATACATAAACATATTCAAATGAAATCTTTCTATCTTAAAGTTCACATTTTTATTTATTAATATTCCATGCTTCACAGAATGTAAATCTTTATCTCAGTCATCTAAATTAGAAGTTTTTAATAAAAACATCAACCAAATGGAATTGCATTGTTTATTCAATATAATGAAAGAAAATAAAAGAAAACAATTAGTTTTGAACTTCATTTAAATCACCTTTACACAAGATCTTAACCATCAGGATTTTGCTCGAAATGATTTTTTTTTAGAAAGGAGAAAGGGGGTGGGGGACTGACCTCAATAGGCCATGGCTTGCATTATGTGTTATGACGCAAAGATCAAGATTGTATATGGTTAAGAGTGAAGCTGAAATGTTTTTGAGAAATTTGATCATTTCCAGATTCAGAATAACCTCCAGGAACCATGACTTAATTTTCATTTTATGTGTCATGACACAAGATTATTGCAGCCCGGAGGATCAGGCTGCTCCATACATATAATTTTACGTTTTGATGTATGGGGATTGTACGGATTGAGGTGGGAGAAGTTATTCAGAATTAAAGATTAACTATACATTAAAAAGTTTATATATCATAATGTTCTTTCCCGTTCTAAATTACCAATGCTGCCACGATTATTGCCGAGATCAAAGAAATTCCGCGGACATTATTCTCCAATAAATCACAAACGTCATCAAAAAATCATCAGATCAGAAACGAGTATCAAACCTAAACAATTCAAATGCATGTTGGGCTGTAGAATGAAATACTTATTTAGACCACGTCGACGTGTCGTCTTTTACAGTATAAAAACTGTAAATTGCATAAAGTTGCTGATGAATGTCGGTTTTTATAGCTAAGCGGGGCTATTCCAAGGACCTCCCTACACATTTAAACAACGTGATTTTAGTCATGTAAAACATGAACATGATTTTGCTATTGTATATTAATTAAAACTAATCATTTGTTTTGAACATATTTTATTGTATAATTTATACCAAGGGATTGGTAACAAGTTCTTGCAACTTAAAAATATATAATTTTTCCTAAGAATTTGTCATTGATGTATAGGTACTTAAACAAGTTTCCTCACACAAAAAATAGGGGTACCTTACCAGGCATTTTGACAAGATACCACAGGGTCATGTTACTTACATAACCCTTATGGGTAATCTTTTGAATGGCCTATATCGCAATTTTTTGGTGTACTTATATTGAAAAACATTTTGAAAACAATGTAGAAATCAGAAGAGAATTACAAATATGAATGATTTTTCATATAATACCAATTAAGATATACAAAACATAAATTTGAGGAAAGTGTCGTCTGACCTTGAAAAAATGTAAGCAAACAAATTTTCCCTTTGGTGTTAAATGGAACAGAGTAATGGAGACATAGTGGCCAATAGACTCTATTCACGCGTCCGCCATTAAAATACGAAACCGAGGCTGACCTGACAAACTAGCGTCCTTCACTACGAGAAAATGGCGAAGTGCGGCGAAGGTCATCCGGCGTGGACGCGCTCTCTCACAAATGTACCTAAGATTACTGACGATGTGATATCGACATGGTCAACGACATAAAAAATTCCTAATTAATCGCTCAAAAGAGGATACAGTAATTTTGCTAAAGGCTATGTACACGATATCGAAGGTTTGTTTACAATTTTACGATGGACCATCGGACAGCGTGCATAGAATTCTTTACGTTGATATATGTCATTATTATTGAGATTCGATGAACGGAAGACAATAAAGATTCATCACAAGTAGAGAATAGATACTTTTTAGTTATCTTTTTGAAAGAAAAAAATCATATTAAAAAAAAATTATGGCCACGTTATGTGAAATGTGTAAAGGGCAGGGCTACGTACACTAAAGTGGGCGTGGTTTATATATATCAAAATATTTATGCAGTCAGCTGTTTAAAGAATGCAAGTTCATTATGATGTTATGATTCTGTGATTATTTACCTTGTGTCATTTATAAACACGTTGCACGTATGACTTTTCTAAAATTTTGTTAATATAAATAAATATTAATTATTTTCATTTGATATAATTATGTCTTTGTTTTCTTTTTTAATTATTATTTATATCTCTTGATTTTCCTTTGTTTTGATAGATTTTTCCCTTTTGAAAAATTGCAAGGCATTTCATGAAGAGAACATGAAATTTTATATGTGAACAAAGCACTGCGTAAACATTGGATATGCATATACAGCATTTTAAGGTTCACATAACTACTGTACATGCTTACCATAAACTAAATTCAAATGCATGTACACATATACAACACATTTCAAATTTTAGGATTCTTAACTTTTATCAACCTTGTTGCAAGGTCAGATATCTTGGTTTTAGGATTGCTTGGAATGCTTCATTTAAATTAATAATATGTTGTGTATAAATTTTAATGTTCAATGTCTGCACATGTACAGTGTACTATCAATCAGATTGAATAATGCATAATGTATATACATGTGCTACATACTTTCAAAGAATAAGAGACAAGCTTTGATTATGATTTAGCTCAATGGATTTCAATATTTTCTTTGTGCATAATGGCTGAGATATGAAGTGGATATACATGCAGATTTAAGTAGTAATCATCTGGAAAATGTATATTGAAGAGACCAAAGACAACAATTAATGTAGAATTGATGCACTGACAATAATCAGGGTTATTTTTTTTATATATATATTTTTCCTCTTGAATAGCCTAGTCCACATGTACATGTTTCACACCACCATTTTCACAAACGTCAAAATCCTGTATATGGTATTACGTTATATACCAAAAATCCCATTTCAAGTTTTTATACAGCTGAAATTTATTGTATAAATTATCAAATAGATAATCTGTTTCTTTTGCTTTCCTAATAATGTTGCAAATAAATCCCAACTTTGTTTTCAGTTTCTTTTATTCATTTCTATTTCATATCGTTTGTCCAAATTTCTTTTCTTTTATTGAAATCAGTTTCATTTTGTCCTTGGTTGTTTTTATTTCTGTTTCCTTATCAATTTTCATTTACAAGGAACCTAAGTAAGCTTCTCCTATTGTTTCAGCAAGACCATGTACACCAGGGGGCACTGGAGCTTGTATTTGAGCCAAGTGCTTCCTTCTATGAGGAAAAATGATTCCCCACATAATTTTCAAATTGCTCTTAAAGCTGCATGCAGCTTACACCACTGTTGAAAGTTCTAACTGCACATGAAAGCAGGCTTTGGACATTGCAGCCATAATTTAGGCCTTATGTACACATTAGCCCACTATCAAAAGCTTGATTTAAAGATGGTGCCATGTGTCAAATCCAATCAATGCCTCAAACGTGGCACATACATGTACCCCAGAGGTTAGAGGGTATTCATTCTGAAGCAGTTGAGGATGTACACAAAAATTAAGAGAACAGATGGTGTGAAATAAAAATTTTATTGTCCCATTCAGCAAACAATTCCATATCAGAACATGGAATGTCTCAATCAAAATACAATGACAACAAATGATGTTATATTCAGTATTGAACACATTTTGGTAAATAGTAATGAAAGTAAAACATGTCAAGTTTTGTGGAATCTCTCAATCAAAATACAATGACAACAAATGATGTTATATTCAGTATTGAACACATTTTGGTAAATAGTAATGGAAATAAAACATGTCAAATTTTTTTTTCATTTCCTGCCACTTTCCAGGTACAAATTAATTCTTTCTAGATGGTAGTCATCTCGACACCAGACGAACAAATCGCACCTCAAAGCACCGGTCAAATCCATTTGACCCATTATCTGATAATACCGGTAATATTCATGGAAGAATTTTAGTTTATAGCTGTCATTCGCAAGAGTTAAATATTTAAAATTTGTAATCAAGTGCACCTGGACAAATAATTTCTAACAACCCATACATAGGAACAAAGTTGGGGTCTATGACTTTCCTGTCAGAAGTTCCCAGATAAAAACATGAGGGATTGATGACTAAACCTGCTTTAAGACATTGTTTTCTGTTATACCATCATATGCTTCTGCTGCTTCCTGTTCATGTTCAAGTCCAAATTTCATGCTGCTGTTTGAATTTGTTACTTTTTAATAATGCGTCAGCCAAAGTTTCAAAATCTTTCTTTGTTTAGCCAATCCAAAAGTCAAGAAAGCTTTTTCTGATCAAAGGGAGTCTGTCATCTGTTTATTTTAAATGAATTACCCCATTCTCCATATAAATGAATATGTAATGGGAAAATGATTGGGAAACAATGAACATTTTGGCATCATAACCTTTTCTACTAAAAAAAAAAAAAAAACACTTTTATAGCCATAAGAGGCAAAAGCTTCCTTATATAGTGTAGATCCAAATGTAGATATAGTGTAGATCCAAGTTTGTTCAAATATCTTTTCCTCTATAGCACATTGAAATATACACATGTAGGGGGGAGGGATTTGTCATACATGAAATAATATGCAAGCATCTTTAGGTAATGTAGATCCAAATATGTTCAAAGGCTTGTTATTTTCAAAAAAGTTGTAATTAATGAGCTTTTTCATCCGAAAAGAGTCGCCCGCTTGGGGCAGTAGTTAGAGCGTCTGCTCTAGAGTCGCAAAGTAAGGAGCTGATGAGTGAAAAATTCTCAAGAGGGAAGTTAAAAATTATACTGGTTCATTCACTATTCAATCAATCATCCTATACAATCACTATACAATCAATCATCCAAAAACACAAAAATCATACCATACAAAGTAAATCTTAATACAATTGCAATTGTGTTAATTACCAAAGAACTGATGATAGCATTACAAACATAGTGCAATTTAAAAATACTTGTATTAATTAAATCCTATTTTAAAATATGTGTATTACATCTTCAAATTTCCCAAACCTGGAAAAAATGTCATGGTATTAATTTTTTCCCCAAAAAGATCTTTCTCACATGAAACACATATCAATGAAAATTCACCAAAAAAAAAAAAAAAAAAATCCCAAAGCCTGCAACGATTTCTGTTTTAAATATATACAGATATAAGTTCCATCTCCATTGTACATGTCTAGTATAATTCAAATATGCAGATGATGTTAGTTTACATGCAACACTCTTCAACAATTGAAAATATCTCTCAAAATAACTTTTCTTTAAAATTTGTTAATAAACAACACACAGACCAAATTTGGTTTACAGTCCCAGCAACAGACAATGGCAGAACATTATCAAAAATATGGTACTCTTTACACCTTCTGATAGCTCTTTCTACATGAATTCTTAGTCTTGCTATTTGCTGAGTTTTACTAACTTCATCTTTACTAAATTTTACTTTACTTCCTAAAAAAGGTGGAATAATCAAGTGTGCACCAACACTGTCAAGTAAATCTTGGATTAAAAAACCTTTGTCGACCATCACATCATCACCTTGTTCTAATAGATCAAGTATACCACTTCTTTGTGTAACATCTTTATCAGAAATATTGCCAGTAAATAATCTGCTAACAAAACATACAGCACCATGAGGGGTTATACCAATCAAGCCTTTAAAGGTAGTATGAGACTTGTAATTTGAATATGACTGAGAGTTAAGTACTTTGGCACTTGGAGTCTGCACACGTATTTCTGTACAATCCAAAATAACTCGTGTATTTGGAAAAGTAGTCTTAAAGCATTCTGGCATATTCTGTTTAACAATATCTAAATCTGGCCATATGGGTAAACATCCCAAAACACAATACAAGTAATTACTCCAAGTAATAATAATACGACTAACAGTGCTTTGAGACACACAAAAACGTTGTGCTAAATCTTCTTCAAAAAAACCTTGTCTAATTCTACATAAAAACATAAAAAATTGATCTACAATTGACAAAGACTCTTCTCTAAAAGGATTACAAACAATGTTCTTATTTCTCTGAACTTGTGACCACCTGATCATATTTGAGGCTGTTGGCTCAACAACATTATATACAGCACAAAAAATATCGTAAGTAGAAAAACCAGTGTAAAAATTTATCAAATTTGGATCTTTAGAAAATCTCTCAATCCCAAACTTCTCTACTTTCTTCTCAAGGTGCTGTACCCTTTCTTCTAGTTCAGAAATGTGTATCTTCATTGCCTACAATATAGTATTACACAGTGATATATGTATATTTCCAAATAAATATCAACATTACCACAATATAACAGAGACGTATATTTATATGACGGAATATTATATCATGAAAATCAAATGTACATCATTGGATGTCACTGATGGAGCAAATGCTGCTTAAAAATCTGTACTGGTGGTTTGTTTAACAGTGTTAACAGATAAGATTTCCAATGTGGTTTTCATATACAAGGGCCAATAGACCACATTGCTCACCTGAGTAATTTCTGTTCTTTAAAAGATTTCCGCCTTGTACTATCTATAGTGTAAAACTTGGATTCCCTATTATTGCCCCATCCTATCCCCAGGGTCATGATATGAGAATCTAAACACTGCTCCAGATGCTAAGCTTCCACATAAGTTTAAGCTTTTCTGGCCCACTTATTCTTGGGAAGATTTATAAATGACCCCACCTTTTTCTTGATTATCTCCCCTCAAAATAGGACTTGGGCCTTCAAATTAAAATTTCATATTCTCCTTTACCCACGGATGCTTTGTAGTACCAAGTTCAGTTAAAATTAATCCTGTAGTTCTTGAGAAGAAGTTGAAAATATGCAAAGTTTACAGACAAATGGAAGGACGACAGACAATGGGTGATCAGAAAAGCTCACTTGAGTTTTCAGCTCAGGTGTGAACTAAAGACAACACACCCCCAAGATCAAAGGGACTCATGATCTGTGTATTACCTCAAGATCTTCTTCAAGAGATGGTGCTTGGCGACAATAGTCATGCTCTTCAGATGGCATATCTGTTGGTGTGTCAATGGCACATGATGCAGTTGATGAATGTTGGTCTGTGTCTAACGAGATCGACGATGATGTTTTCTGCTTCTTAATAACTGATGTTTCTTCTCTGAAAAGATCAATATGTATTAAAATACATGTATTTAATATATAGCTATGTGTTATTTTGATACAGTAGAAGTTTGAAAAGTAAGCTTATCTTATTGGAACTAAAAACTTGCACATTCAAAACATTTATGATTCATAAACCACATTTGATCACAAAATTGCAATTTGTGCAATACTTTTTACATGTCTGGTCGTATAAAAGCTTCACTACATAGAAAATGATAAAAGAAAAAGTTTGAGGGCAGACACAACATTGCATGTAGAAATTATTTTCATGACATACTTTACACTAACGTTTACACGTCCAGGTACGTTTTTTAAACTTTCATAATCCATTGGTACCAATTGAAAACAGATTTATCTGGGGAAAAAGTGTGTATATATAAAAATGATTTAACTTTTTTTCATGCAAGACAAGACTGACCATATTACTGTGATGCTCTCCCTCTGGGGTGATTTGAACTAACATATAAGAGTATATATTTAAGCAATGAGTCCATGAATCATTATTTTTTGAAAGAAATAGTCTCATAATTACAACAGTGTTTGCAAACAAACTGAATATTAAACTTATGAAGTGTTTCATTGCAAATGTGATTTATATTTCAAAATTCCGGTATTATCGTTTGGGTACATTCCAGATAATGGAAGAGCCAATGCAACATCTTCTGTTTAAATTGAACTTGATATTTGGTTCTCGCTTATGACGTTGCCCTTCCAAGGAGTTCAACGTTTGTGATGTCAAATTAAAACGTAACCTTTAACACTTTGACCCTGTGTCTGTGTTATGATGCTTTGAATGCCATAAAATTTCCCCACACTTACATGCAAAATACATGTGTAAAATGCTAGTTTTATATATATCTTTAAATTTACAGTTTAGTTTTTTTCTATGTGTTCCAAATAAGTAAAACTTGAATCTATACTATATATTGATAAGGTTTCAAGTATAAGTCTCATCTTTCCTGGCTCCCATTTTTTTTTCAGAAGATATTTTTAGAGGATCCCACGTACGATTTTCATTGACTATTTCTTAATTATCTCCCTTTGAAAGGTGATTTTGAACAATCTTGATTTCCCCTCACCAAAGGATTGTACATGCATGTGCCAAGTTTTGTTGAAACTAGCTCAATGAAAGAAAATGTGAAATATTACTTATAATGATAAACACCACGCAGTGACGGATAATACACAAATTTGATCAGAAAATCTGACACTTGAGCTTTCGATCTGTTTAGGTGAGCTATTACAATGGCTCATTAATCAGCCAATAACCTACACATGTAATTAGGCTTTAATTAAAAAAAATTTAGATTCTCATCCAATATTTTTTAAAAATCATGGCAGGTGGGTGGATTTCATAACATATTTTTTTTTATTTCTTCCATTATACATACATTATTTTTGACCTGATCAGATGGTGCAGATATCTGTTATATCCAAATGAAAGTCATATATAGTTAAAGGTAAATTTAAAATGTATATAATTAATATCTCTTACTACACATTGTCTGGTATCCGACGGCATCTTTCTCAACTGATGCTCCTTGTTTAATACTTCAGTTTATATTACAGCAATAGGCATTGATCTTGTCAGCTGAGCTGCAGAAATCATACTGATATATGTGGGATAGAGAACGAAAGTTGAAAAGTACCGGTAATTGATTACCAATCCCGATCTGAATTAAGACTAAGAAAAAAGAATTTTCCAAAAAAAAAAAAAAATTGAGATGAGGATGAGAATCTAGGATTTTTTTTAACTATGGCCTTGTACAGGTATTGTGTGCATTATTCAAGCTGTATTTATTACTTAACAAATGTTAATATAAGTACCGAATTGTCCATTTTTCATGTCCATTATGCTGTAACATGACCAGTTGTACAAACACATGACATGCTTATGCATGTAACTCAATTTGTGAGCACAGCTGTCCATGTTGTGACATGATGGACATTAAAATTTACAACTCAGTGCTTAAATAATACAATGCAGCATTTTGTTTATCAGTAGCAAAATTAATACTGCAAATTGTATCATCACTTATTAAGTCTTACTGAGGAGGTCCCTCTCTCTTCTTGGGTGGTTTACGGCTTGGTGCAATCTTGGTCCATGGAAATATACTTGGTACTGTGCCTTTCTTCAATTTTCTTAGTCCTAAAAGATGTATAGATGTTTAACCATCATTTAATTTTTAATCATCTATTTCCAAATTAAAATATTACATGTTTGTTTATGTTTTACTTTTCCCCAAATTACAATTTTATTTTTGAACTTTAATTAGAAATGCCACCTTGATTTTTTTAGAAAGTTTATATATTTAGAATTGAAGTACATAAATTTATCATAGATCAATTAAATAAAGTAACAGCAAAAGAACTCAAACTTTGAAGCTGCTTGTACTAGCCTTGTACCTGTCAATGTTTTAACAATATCATCTTCCTTAAAATGTTTTGAGCACACATATGTGGACTTGGATATCTGAAAAATATTAATCAAGTTGTAGAACATCTGATTGGCATTGCTATTATTTCAATTACAATTAAGAAATTATACATGTATTAAAAAGTATATTTAAAAAATACTTTATAATAAAGTATATATATATATATTTACATCCACGCATTGACGGATAATAACAAATTTGATTTGACACTCTTCTGAAATGTAGGTGAGCTATTACAATGGCTCATTAATATTTTTAATAACCTACACATGTAATTAACTTTAATATAAAAAAAAATTAAATTCTTTCCAATATTTTTTAAAAATCAAGGCAGGTCGGTGGATTTCATAAAATATTTTTTTTTATTTCTTCCATTATACATACATTATTTTTGACTTGATCAGATGGTGCATATCTGTTATATATCCAAATGAAAGTCATATAGTTAAAGGTAAATTTAAAATGTATATAATTAATATCTCTTACTTTATCTAAAGCATAAAATGTTTAAATAATGATGCTCCTTGTTTAATACTTCAGTTTATATTACAACAATAGGCATTGATCTTGTCAGCTGAGCTGTTAAAATCATACAATATGTAATTAATTTTTTTTGTTAAAGTAGTTTGATCCTAAGAAAAAAAAATTTTCTTGAGAAGGATGATCTAATTTTTTTTTATGGCCTTGTACAGGTATAAATTCAAGCTGTATTTATTACTTAACAAATGTTAATATAATGTCTTTTTCATGTCCATTATGCTTTGTTGTTAAACACATGACATGCTTATGCATGTAACTCAATTTGTGAGCACAGCTGTCCATGTTGTGACATGATGGACATTAAAATTTACAACTCAGTGCTTAAATAATACAATGCAGCATTTTGTTTATCAGTAGCAAAATTAATACTGCAAATTGTATCATCACTTAATTAAGTCTTAATGAGGAGGTCCTTTCTCTCTTTTGGGTTTTTACATTTTGGTGCAATCTTGGTCCATGGAAATATACTTGGTACTGTGCCTTTCTTCAATTTTCTTAGTCCTAAAAGATGTATAGATGTTTATATAACCATCATTTAATTTTTAATCATCTATTTCCAAAATAAAATATTACATGTTTGTTTATGCTTTACTTTTCCCCAAATTACAATTTTATTTTTGAACTTTAATTAGAAATGCCACCTTGATTTTTTTAGAAAGTTTATATATTTAGAATTGAAGTATATAAATTTATCATAGATCAATTAAATAAAGTAACAGCAAAAGAACTTGTTGAAACTTTGAAGCTGCTTGTACTAGCCTTGTACCTGTCATGTTTTAACAATATCATCTTCCTTAAAATGCTTTGAGCACACATATGTGGACTTGGATATCTGAAAAATATTAATCAAGTTGTAGAACATCCGATTGGCATTGCTATTATTTCAATTACAATTAAGAAATTATACATGTATTAAAAAGTATACTTAAAAAATACCTTATAATAAAGTATATATATATATTATGCTTCTGTTAAAACATCTCCTTTATATAAAGCTTAGAATGTAATTAAATAATGGGTGCACAAGGCTTTCTTTGCCAAATTTTCGAAATATATCTTTGGTTTATACCAGCTACTTACCTTGGCTTTATTATATCAATTGCCTCCTTCACCATAATTGTGGCTCTACTCTTTTGCATGGCAAATTTATGTATAATGTATGATTGGCATTTTTGTTGATACAGATAGATATTTAAATGACATGAAAGACAATTGCCTTTACATCAAATTTAACCAAAATATAGCATTTTGCCCTGCAAAAGAGTAGTGCCGCACTTATTGTGAGGGAACTATATGCAAGGGGTAGTTGCAGAATAAACAAATATTCCAAGTTGGTGCATATAAAATTAGGATGCTGTAGACAAAAGAATTTTTAAAACTTTTAGTTATAACTAAAAGGAACTGGACATCTTGATTACAAGTGTAAATGTACATGTATTCTCAATAGTTACTGATTTTGAGAACAGGCCTAGTGTATGTCTGGCATTTTTTTTGTTGATGCCCATATGGCCTATAAATTGTACGCCTAATATCAAATAGCCTAAATATTAAACATGTATCACGAATGATACAGTGTATACATAATGATATGATTTAATACTATACAGGCTCCAGATGTTTTGAAGAGATTTGTTTTTCTCTTCGGATCGAAATAATTAAGTGGCATGTTGGTTGGAATGGGGCTTGGGTTTTCACGCTTGTAGCGATATTTATCATTCAAAATACATTTTATATGACTGGAAAATTTATTAAAAGGTGTTATATCGAAATGTAATTTAATTTAACTTCAAATCATGTAGAGATGTAATGAAAGTGCGAGATGATACGAAACCTCGCTTGCGTGCAGTTTATATTAGCCTATAGCAACATGGACGTAAACATCACTGGTGATGTGGAATTTATCGCCTTACTGTGATTAAATAAAAGGGTCCAGTATGTCAAAACTCAATGAAATTAAAGGAAAATATAATCAAAATAAAAAATCAATGACTTTTTTAAGTTGTTTCAGTGAGGGATTTTTATATATTCACAAAACCGACAAACTCTGTGTCAGGCACGTGAAAAACTTACATGGAAGTCAGGACCTTCGTCTCGCCGTATTTTAATAATCCACTCTTTCCGTGCAGATGGATCCTTTGGAAAAGAGTGGAAGGATGTTGCTGTACCCCGACGACTGTCCTCGCTACAAAGCGGCACGCAACAATAAGCCGCGGAGCCTGTTTTCGCATGGCCGTCCATTTTCAGCGTCTGCTCGCACATGTGCTTTTTGTCAGGTCAGCCTCGTTATCGCTACGAACTTTAGCGCGTGCGTGAAATATAAAAGCCTTGGCCTCGGCTTTTATCTTTCAAACAACATTTCTCGACCTCGGAGGTTATTATGTAACATTCACGAACTTTATATTTCAAACAACATTTCGAGACCAAGGAGTTATCCTGCATCATTCAAGACATTTGAGTATGTTTATGTATAATATATATTAATTATTTATACCCATTAAACAATCAGTTAAGTGTCAAATATTCAATAATCATAAAAACATAAAACCTAAAATCTTTGTACGAGATCGTTACTAACTTAAGAGTAAGCTAAAATTATAAGCTGCTAGACTAAGATCAACTTAAGTTCAACTTAAAAAGAAAGAGGGCGTATAAGGCGTGGACAATCCCCCCCTCTGAGACAAAATGTTTCTTTATTTTCAAAATTCACAGAAAAGTTATATTTTTCTTAAAACATGTTCTCAGTAATGTCATCTTCAAAACATTTTATCATTTTATTTTACTGAACGACTTATTATTTGATAATCTATATTTCAAAGTTGACAGTTAAGCATATTTAGTGGAAAATGGGTTTAATAGAG